CACAACTGTTTTGTTGCCAGAACAAGGGGGGGAACCTATTCTCATATTTTGGTACTGGCAAAGGAGGTCCCATATAAATTTATAATTGTTTTTGAGTCTGTTGTTTATTGTGTAACACTGCCTCAAAATAATGACTTTTAACTTCAATAGGTGCTCTCAAACACAACTCTAAAGTATCACAGAGCGATGGTCTTCTTCGTGGGTGTTTGTTGTGGTGTAATCACGTGCCAGTAGCCGATGTAAATCTTTAACTGTGGCCTCGATCGGCTCGGGAGATGAAACGTTGCACAAACACGGTCGAGGTTGTGCTTTATTTTCTCGAGAGCTGCCATAACGGACAATAATCCTCAAAAACAAATAAATTGTCTTAAAGGTTCCAACATGGGTCCGAAAAAACATACGATCTGCCGGTTGGTTGGTTTCACTCGGAGGGCAAGCGTCAGCCTAAAGTTGCACGTTGCTTTAGATTTAAGTCTCGTGCTAAACAATTACAATTATAACATTCCCATCATCACCGAAATAAGTCATTCTCCTCCCGTGGAGTGTGACGCTAAAAGCCGACAGAAGGCGAACGAAACCTGCTTACCCGTTCCACAGTAATACTATAATTACATTTGTAATCGAAAAACGGCTTGCATAATTACTAAACCAAGCAAATGACTAAACTAAACTATACATGAATACAGCGGGTGTTATAAAGGCTATTGCCTATAGAGAGAACAAAATTGCTGCTTTATACTCCCCGCCTTCAGTGACCAGAGTGGTGAAGTATGGTCAAACAACTCCCCCACCACCCTTCACGACCGGCACGGCTTGGAGGAGACCCTCATCCAGCAGTGGATTGACCCACACATCGTCTCTACTACGAGGACAATGCCTGAACACCCGCGTGTTGACCGACGTTCCGGCTGAACCCACTTCACAACGGCCCCCCCTCCGTCTTGCACAAAGTAATGATGAATAATTGAAGAGGCGCTTTGCCTGATAACACCTGCCAGCCATTAGCATCTGTTTCGCGGGACACGCATCCTGCTGATGATACTTAAGAAACGTCGAAACCGGCCCTGGGTTTGTCTTGGTTTTTGTGTTTTTGTATCAACGGTGGTCGTGACCAGACACTGAACATTACTCGGCCTGATCGCGGTAGAGCATTGACTGTTGTCTGCATATTAATTGTGATGTTACGTTCATATTCTAGCGTCTTTCGGTAAAGTCACGTAGATAGGTTGAAAGAAAAAAAAATGTTACGTTCGCTTACGTAAGCCCCACGACCTGTTATGTGGTCTATATTTTAAGAAAGATAGAAACGTAACTTGTATTGTAATGAATGGGACCATCTTTATTATGATGATAATTATGATGGTAATTAGATGATAATTCTGATGATAATTATGATGTTTTCACCGTCCTGCAAGTTTTTTTGGTTCCAATAATTGGGTATCTTTTACACATGTGCATTTTGCCTAATTTTATTTTTTGTCTTCGGTCTTAACAACAACAACAACATCTATTTCATTATGCCAAATAAGACCAAAATGTATCGCCTTTGAAAATAACAATTATGCATATATTTGCATTACATGGAGACTACATTAACATTTAAATGTTTTATCAAAACGTCACACGGTGTGTGTACAGTATATGTATATAATTGACAAGGATTGTACAGGTTTCCCTCGCTCTATGCGGGCTCGCTTTGTGCGATTTCGCGCTGGAGATGCGGCCAAACGATTTCTACCAAAAATTGTCTCTTGTGTGGCCTAACATCACTCGCATGCGGCTATGCGCTCGGACGTGGGACACGAATGTGCGTGTACTGTGTGCGTGTACTGTGTGTACTGTGTACATTGTGTGTGTACTGTGTGTGTACTGTGTACATTGTGTGTGTACTGTGTGTGTACTGTGTGTGTGTACTGTGTGTGTACGGTGTACATTGTGTGTGTACTGTGTGTGTACATTGTGTGTGTGCTGTGTGTGTGTACTGTGTGTGTACGGTGTACATTGTGTGTGTACTGTGTGTGTACTGTGTATTGTGTGTGTACATTGTGTGTGTACTGTGTGTATGTACTCTGTACATTGTGTGTGTACTGTGTGTGTACGGTGTACATTGTGTGTGTGTACTGTTTGTGTACTGTGTATGTACTGTGTGTGTACTGTGTGTACTGTGTACATTGTGTGTGTACTGTGTGTGTACTGTGTACATTGTGTGTGTACTGTGTGTGTGTACTGTGTGTGTGTACTGTGTTCGTACTGGGTGTGTACTGTGTACATTGTGTGTGTACATTGTGTGTGTACTGTGTGTGTACTGTGTGTACTGTGTACATTGTGTGTGTGCTGTGTGTGTACTATGTCCGCTGCTCGACAGCCATCTGTCCCGTGCAGTTTCACTTCCTGCGCACTTTTTTTGCAACGCATCTACCACACAAAGCGAGGGGAGCGGTGGCGCAGTGGTTAGCACGCTGCCGTCCGAGTCCGATTCCTGGCTGTAGCCAACATCAGTGGCGAGTGATATCGGAATCGATCCGAGGCTCCCTCGCTTCATAAACCCATTTGTGTCTGAGGGTGACAAATTGCTTGGATTATTAGTACGGTTGGCTACGTACGGTGCGAAAGAAGTTCACCATTGGGTTAGCGCAATTCATGAGATAACCCGAGTTCGAATTCCGCCCGTGGCTAACATCGCTGGCGAGTGATACCTGAACCAGTCCTGGCCCTCCCTTTGAGTCAGCCCACTTCGCCAGCCTGCACAGACCACCCTGCGTGACCGACAAGGCGTGGATCCAGCAGTGGATTGACACAAGGGCTCAGGACTATCGCCCCTTGTAAGTGCGCGAGACTTCAGCGACGACGCTGCTGCTGCTGCTGCTGCAGCGAGTGATGGGTGGTGGTCGTGACGACTCCAGCCTGTTGGGAGTCGGCGTCTCTCCGAGGACTTGGCGCGCACCGCCTGCCTAATGGACGCGGATAAAGCCTCCCCTGCGCAGGGCGCGCGCGTGCACGTGCGTGTGTGCGCGTGCACGCGTGTGTGCGCGTGCGTACGTGTGTGCGCGTGCGTGCGTGTGTGCGCGTGCACGTGCGTGTGTGCGCGTGCGTGTGTGCGCGTGCGTACGCTGCGCTACGAAACTGGCGACCCGGATTCGTTCCCCGCTGACGATTTTTCTGAACCGGTCCTGGGCCTCCCCTAGGTCGACTCAGCCTCGAATGAGACAAAGGCGGCCGGGCGTGGTTGGTGGTCACCCACCCACCCCCTCGTGTGCCGTGTCGCCCTTCATTGGGTCTCTTCACGCTACACAGGGTGTCGCTGTCTTGTATTTGTTTGAAAACGAGTGACCGTCTCTGTAGATCGAAGTGCGCGTACCAGAGCGAGTGTACGTGTGGGTGTGCGCGAAAATCAACCCTAAGGCGAACCATCTGCGTGGCGCGCGCGCACAGACGCACAAAGACAAAGGTCCCCCTTGTAGCCTTAACAAACTGTTGGGGAAATCGCTGTTAGCGAGGCCCCTATGAAGGTTGGCACGGCACACGAGGGGGTGGGTGGCCAGCACCACGCCCGGCCGCCTTTGCGTCTCTAGTAGCGATGTTTACACACCACACCAGGTACTCATTTGAGACGGGAGGGCCCATGACCGGTTCAGATAATCGTCACCGGTGTTGCCCGTCAGCAGGAATCGAACTCGGGCCGCTGGGTTCGTAGCGCCGCGCGCTCACCACTGCGCCACCGCTCCCCACTACAAGGCCAAGCCGAGCTGTAGACGTATGGCAAACGAGGTGGAAAACGAAACAGAGGTCAAGAATGTGATGGGCGAAAGAAAAAATGTTGCATTTAAATGCAGTATACACAATACCGTTACGTCGTTTAATGTGTACGTTAAACACACCGGAATGCTGTAATGCAGTATATAATGTGTATTGCATGCGCGGGGGCACGGCGTGGAATCTATAATGTATATCCACAATAATTGTAAAACTGCGAAGCACAAACGCCGCTCCATGCAGAAGCGTAGAAGCGCAGATCCAAGTCTCATCTCTCCCGTTTCTTCTTTCCTTATTCATCATTTTCCTCTTACTTCCCATTCATTCTCGTTCCCGTTCCTCTTCCTATTCAACACTTCACCGACTCGACTCCACTGCCCGTGGTGTGCCGCGCGTTGGTACAACACTCCTGTCGCCGTGCAAACCCAACTATGGACTCCCCACACAGTGAACCCACCGTGGTCTACGTTTCTTCAACGAAGGAGGAGGATTATAGCAAAACGACACGAACTCTCTCTACGTGCTGAAGCCCTCTCGTCGTGAACAGCAGCAGACATCGACATTTATATCCTGAACATACTGCAGCCATGCTCAAGAATACAATTGTAACTTTAAATTCGTAGTTATTGCGTTTAATGATTTTTTTATACCGCCCCAAAACCAATAACTTCAGATATTGCTCCCAACTCCACGACTAATGTGTTGAACATTATTCGCGGAAACTTGTATAATGTCTGGACTAGAAATAGTATGAGTTGTATATGAACACAGACGTGTGTGTGTGTGCGTACACCTCGCTCGTTGTGCAATATTCCACAAGGACCCCGTGTGCTCGTTCTCTACGATATCGGTGCATTGTTGTTGTTGTTGTAGCTGCACTCACGCTGCCCCACGGATCTCGAGTGCAAAATAGCCGGGAAATCGTCCAAACGGGATCGTCATCCGTGCAAGACGTCACGTAAACTAAACACTCAAGTAGATAGTCATTTTACAACAGCTGATGCACACACACATTGCATTTGACACACACACACACACTTCCTCTGACACACATACACACTGCCTGTGACACATACTTCCTCTGACACACATACACACTGCCTGTGACACACACACACACTGCCCGTGACACACACTGCCTGTGACACACACACACACTTCCTCTGACACACACACACACACACTTCCTCTGACACACATACACACTGCCTGTGACACACACAGACACACGCGGCGCGTAAACTCACGTGTGTTGGCCTCATAGCAGTCGCTGTCCAGCGCCTGAGGTACGTGGTAGTAAAACATCGCGACAGGGCGCGCTCAGCCTCGACTGCCTGCAGGAGCGAGATCAGAGACCAACAGATTAATCATTCACTCACCAACAACACCATCCACTCACTCACCAACAACATCATTCACTCACTCGCGAACAGCATAATTCAATAATCAACAGCACCATTCACTCGTCAACAGCATCATTCACTCACTCACGAACAGCATCATCATCATCATCATCCACTCATCATCAACAACATCATTCACGAACCAACAGCACCATCCACTCACTCACCAACAACATCATTCACTCACTCGCGAACAGCATAATTCAATAATCAACAGCACTCGTCAACAGCATCATTCATTCACTCACTCATCAACAGCATCATCATTAACTCACTCACCAATAGCATCATCATCATCATCATCATCATCCACTCATCAACAACATCATTCACGAACCAACAGCACCATTCACTCGCACTCCTCAACGCCAGGCTCTGCAAACAAGAGGTCGTCGAGTCCGACACTCGTGGACCAGCACCGTGGCGCTGGACCCGCGAGCGTCATCACGCGGGACCATCGCTCAAGCAGCGATTTTTCCTGCGACTAAACCACCACGAGTGTTCCCGACCTCACCGTACACCAGAAGCCAAGCAGGTGTGGAGACCCTTTCGTCCCTTGACGAGCGACTGCCTGGGAATGACCAGGTGGTGTAGGGCTTGGGATGCGTTGCGAACACGCGATAGCGGTGCGGACATTGATTCTTAGATCTATCTGTGCGGAGTTACGAGTGTGCTCCGCATACGCATGGTGGGGGTTTTTCCCCCACGCGTTATCCTTCCACGTAAAACCATCCAAGGAGTTTGGGAATTGGCCAAATATACCAATGTGGCGGAATACCGGTGGCGAGATGTTAACTACCTCGCCTGGTATACAGGAAGTCGTAGGTTCGATTCCCACCGTGACGCCTGCTGCTGTATATTTGGAGTTTGCGTGTTTTTTCCCGGCTCCTCCGGTTTATTACCTCCACATTTAGAATCAACATCACGCGTTAAGAGGATTTGGCTGCGATACATTTCCAAGCAATAAGCCACGTGGGTTGAGCTATTATTTGGGGTCAGGTCGCTTCTGAAAAAGAGCCACATAGCTCAGTTGGCTTCACCTGGTTAAACAAAAAAAGAGTTGAATCATATTTTACCGCCTTCAAATGATTTTTGAGACTCGGTCAGACTTTCCTTGAAATATAGTTTTACAATGTCCACTTTTCCTTGTTTAGACACATTGTCCGAGGGAACACACACAATCCAACACGATGGCCGTGACGTGGCTGTTACCCGATAACTAAATTGAGTATCGATTCGACGATATCGAATTGGATATTGGATACAACGCAAATCGTCTCCGAGCATTTCACTGTCTCTGAAAACGAGCTATATAGCTCAGTGGGCCTTACCTGTTAAAATAGAAATAGTTTAGTTTAGTCCCCAAGCGGGACTCGGCCTTAAAATAAGCACCAGGTGCGATGTGTAAGGATCAGTATTGGGGAGACAAAGGCGGCCGGGCGTGGTGTTATGGTCACTCAACCAGCTCGTGTGCCGTGCCGGCCCGCATTGGGTGGTCGCTAGCAGCATTTGCCCCAACAGCCTGGATCAGACGACCCGGGGGATCTTTGTTCCTGTGTGTTCGACCGGTCTCGTTTGCGAACGCATTTCTTTGCAGTCAAATTGACAAATTTCATGAGTAACCCTAGCCTTGTGAACCCCCATTGGAGTAGGGTACAACACAAACAACCAATTTAAAAAAGCAACAATCCTCTAAAAGACGCGATGTCTACAACAGCAAGAAACAAGTTGTATAAAACGGAGAGTTATTTGTAGATAAAGCTGCAACTCGACGGTGAACGCAGGAATATTTCAGCAGAGAGATTTCCGCGCTCAACAATGATCACCCGAGGCAATGCTAAAAGTCGAGGGCTCTCACGTTACTGCCTCAATCGATGTGAAAATGACTTCGGTCATCTTGGGGGAATCGCACAGTTTGAGTTGGCGGTTTGCTGATCGTCAATCGATGTCGGCAGGAAAAACCTCGGTGACCTGGGAACCGAAGCGCGTTTCCCTTACACCGCACGCGGCAAATCCCGCACCTGCTGCACAACACAATCACAACAGCGACAGCAAAGATCGTCCGGTGCTCGACCATACTTCATCCACGGGTGTTGGCCACGCTCAACCCTGCTACCGATTTCCTAGATCCGACTTGGCCCGAGGGATGAGCCTTTGGTGGAGCGGTGGCACCGCGATGAGCCGTCACTGCACGAGCTGCAATCAACTTTGGTGACCCGAGTTTGTAAACTATATTTTTATTTTATTTTACCAGGTAAGGTCCATTAAGCTCTACATAGCGCTATTCAGTAGCGACCTGGCCATAAATGATAGCCAAATTAAGTGGCTTATCACGTGGACATTAATAGCAGCCAAATATTCGAAACGTATTTTTCTAACTTTAGAGGGGGAAACGGGAGGACCCGAAGAACAATCCACGCGACCACGGGCAGAGAGAGACATCGCAAACTCCAATATACAGCAGGCGTCAGGGTCGGGGTCGAATCGACGACCTCCTGCACACCAGGCGAGGTTGTGAACATCTCGCTACCTTGGCGTCGAGTTTGATTCTGGGCCACGGCTAACATCAGTGGCGAGTGATGTCAGAACCGGTCTTGTCCTCCCCTCCACCACCCAGTTCCCACCACCCCACCCGGCCCCCTTCGCCAACCCGCGCTGACGAGCGTGGTGAAGTATGGTCACAGCATTGCCTGCGTGCGACTGACACACAGCTCAGACAGGCAGGCCGTCATCCAGCAGTGGATTGGTAAAAGGGCTCGTAAGTTGTAATAACTACTGCCTGTTTACGTTGTGAAACTTCGCTACAGAAGCATTTACAATTCCAGGTAGGTCGCCCCGCAGTGCAACGCGGCACACACGCGAACGTTACTCTGACGCCTGTTTTTTTTGTATTAACTCTGTCATTAAATAAAAGTCTTTACTCTCGTTTCGGACAACCTGGTGTAACACAGCTCAGGTGTGTAGCGACAAGATCGGAGCCGTTCGCTTTAAAGGAAGCCGCCAGGTGACCTGCTGATATTCCCGGGAGATAGGTACGGCGTGGAAGAAGTTCAACATACACGCATATACCCTGTACATATTACGTGTGTGTGCGTGTCCATCTGCCTGTCCGTGTGTCCTTCCATCTGCGTGTATGTCCTATCCGGTCCATGGTGTGTCCGTCCTCAAGTTGGTCCGTCTAAGTGTCATCGATTCGTCCGCCTACCCGGCCCCTTGTCCCTTCGTCTTAAGACTCTGCTCACGTCCTGACGAAAACTACAAAATCCCTTAAACCAGCTCACCAATCAGCTCACCAACACAATACAAAACTCACCACTCAGCTCACCAACACAATACAAAACTCACCACTCAGCTCACCAACACAATACAAAACTCCCCGCTCAGCTCACTAACACAATACAAAACTCATCGCTCAGCTCACCAACACAATATAAAACTCACCGCTCAGCTCACCAACACAATACAAAACTCATCACTCAGCTCACCAACACAATACAAAACTCACCACTCAGCTCACCAACACAATACAAAACTCACCGCTCAGCTCACCACCACAATACAAAACTCACCACTCAGCTCACCAACACAATACAAAACTCACCACTCAGCTCACCAACACAATACAAAACTCACCGTTCAGCTCACCAACACAATACAAAACTCACCGCTCAGCTCACCACCAACACAATACAAAATCACCACTCAGCTCACCAACACAATACAAAACTCACCACTCAGCACACCAACACAATACAAAACTCACCGCTCAGCTCACCAACACAATACAAAACTCACCACTCAGCTCACCAACACAATACAAAACTCACTGCTCAGCTCACCAACACAATACAAAACGCATCACTCAGCTCACCAACACAATACAAAACTCACCACTCAGCTCACCAACACAATACAAAACTCACTGCTCAGCTCACCAACACAATACAAAACTCATCACTCAGCTCACCAACACAATACAAAACTCACCACTCAGCTCACCAACACAATACAAAACTCATCACTCAGTTCACCAACACAATACAAAACTCATCACTCAGCTCACCAACAACCAAATACAAAACTCACCACTCAGCTCACCAACACAATACAAACTCACCACTCAGCTCACCAACACAATACAAAACTCACCGCCAGCTCACCAACACAATACAAAACTCACCACTCAGCTCACCAACACAATACAAAACTCATCACTCAGCTCACAAACAACCAAATACAAAACTCACTGCTCAGCTCACCAACACTCAAGTCAGCACACGACTCTCGACGCCGGTCGGGTCGTGAAGTGGGGGGGGGGGGGTTATTTGACCATACTTCACCACTCTGACCAGCGCGCGTTGGTGACGGCGCGGAGCATAGACGCGCGAGCATAGAAAACACAGTACAACAAACCACGAGGCTGCGGTCTGCTACCAAACCACGTGGCCCCGAAGTGGCCGATAACAACCCGTTATGCATGGCGGCCTCCCATCAAAACTTGACGCAGGCTCAGCCCCGCTTAGCTTTGCGAGGTCTGCCGAGATCGGGCGCGTTCCCCTGCGAGTGCTGCTCTCAACTAAAACATCTCCCCGCGAGGTGGCCTCTGCCTAGACATCAACCGAACACCACCTGCCTGGCCACAGCAACGTCTAAAGCAAGCCCCCCCTGCCCCCCCTGCCCCCTCTGCCCCCCCTGCCCCCCCTGCCCCCCATTCCCTCGCGACAACCCCCCCCCACGACTTCCCCACGCCCCCCACTGCTACAACCGCACGGCGCTCACTCAATTCAATTACCGGCTCACCGCCACTATCTGCGACGATAAGGGAACGATCCTAATGTATACAGCCGACTTCCGACAGAGATAAGCGAAGCCCGCAGCGACGACGAAGACGAAGATAATTCATAAAGCCGCGGCCACGGGGCACTTTAAACAACGCCGCAGAGAAATCCCCGCGCGCGATCCGAGTGGCGAGGGGTCGTGCGGTTGGTTGGTTGGTTGCGCGGTGTGGGAAGTTGTGAGAACTCTGTCCGAGTAACTGCGAGCTGCAGCCGGGTGTGGACCGAGGCGTTTCGTCGTTTGGTACTCACAGAGACAGATGCTGCTGCTGCTGCCCGCTGCTGCTGCTGCTGCCCGCTGCTGCTGCCCGCTGCTGTGTCAGCTGCTTCCTGCTCGTCCTGCCCGGTCGCTCCCTCCCTCGCTCGCTCGCTCTCCTGTCGCACTCACGCCGCGTTCCGATTCTTGACTCAAATTCATCAGCTCGCTCTCTGGCTTTATAATGTAATCCCTCAACCCTCCCCTGCCAACTCCACCCACCTCCCCCCACCCCTCCCCTCCCACCATGCTGCACCTTCACCCTCCCAGCAGTCTCCCTCCCCACCACCCACCCCCCCCCCCCAATTTTGCTCACTCTTAATGGACTTTTGCAACCAATAATAATCGTATTATTCCCACCACCTCGTTGTTCAGCGGGGAATATATGCAATATACAGCCCTTACCCCTCCCACACCACCACCATCATCACATCACCCCTCGTCTCTCACCACCAGACCCCCGCCTCAATTCTCTACCTCCGGCATTGGCACGCGAGTTTGTCGAAGAAGACCTATCGATGAGGGTTTGTGCAGTGCTGTTCCATCTCTGCCTGTGTGCGTGGTGCGTGGTGCTTGCGTTGTAAGGGAGTGGAGTTCTCAGCGGCGGCAGAGCGAGCGCCTCGCGATCGGAAGGTCGACTTAGCACCATCATCCTGTCCGGACCAATAAAAGGAGAATCAATGTTGTGAAGTCAACAGCGGAGTTTCGCATGGATATACTAATCCCCGCCATAGGAATGTGGATTGTTCACCTCTGGCTTAGGGCTGTAAAAATGACATGAGCACCACCTCGATGATCTTAAGAGCAATAAGTCTCGTGTGTGATTAGCGCGTGTGTGTATGCTCATTGTGTATGTGTGTTGACTGTGGTGTGTGTGTAGCGATTAGCGCGCTGCGATATGAACCTCGAGACCCGAGTTCGATTCCCGCTCACGGCCAACGCCAGTGACGATTATTTGCACCGGTCCTGGGCCTCCCCCAGGTCGGCTCAACCTCAAATGAGTACCTAGTGCCATTAGGGAGACAAAGGCGGCCGGGCGTGGTGCTGGCCACCCACCCCCTTGTGTGCCGTGCCGGCCTTCATAGGTGCTCGCTAACAGCACTTTCCCCAACAGTCTGTTAAGGCTACACGGGGGCATCTTTGTACTTGTTTTTTTTGTCCGCGTTTAATGGGTTTTGTGTGTCGTTGTGCGTAGTGGTCACGTGGCGGTGTGTGTATGTGTGCGCATCTCACGCGTGCGGGTAATTATCATTGTCATTATAGCCTGCTGATAATATAGTTATGATCCACTGATTGACTTCATCGCAATGACCATCATCATCCTCATTGCCATCATCACTGGCGATTAATCATCATCTGTTAATTGAATCGTTATCATTACAAAGTATGAATTCAGTTATTGTCAGCTAATGTAATCCCGTCCTAATCGATTATTAAGTCAAATAGCCCACACAATTGCTTACTTCGCCAATTTTCAATTTTCCAACATCCTGTCCCGGGGTTGTCGCCCCTCCGATTCCCCGCACCTCCGATGGGCACGGTTGGTCACGTACGGTGCGAAGGAAGTTCAACACGCGCACACCCCCCGCATGAGAGAAGAGTTTCCGTCCTGCAGAAGCGGATGTCACAGAGCCATCTCTTCAATTGCTGGGTGACAGTAGAATCGACATTAAAAACATGTTTTACAGCTGGAATATAGGCGATTAAGTGCAGAGCCATATGTTCACCTATGCAGTGATTGGTGACCAAGCTTAATTACGGGGGAGGTGAAAACCGGAATTGAACCCAGAATCTCAGCGTTTAATTCAACCACAATCATCAGCATCATCATCCTTATGATCTATTGCTCATGTAATCAGCATCCTCCACGTTGGTTCGGGGTGTCAAGTATTGTTCTGGTCAGTGTGAGAGTTATCATGTGGGAAGAGGTTCGTGGGATCTGAGTTGAGTGTCTTCACACACAAGCACAACAACAAGTGGCGGTGACGTCACTACAGCGCTTGTGCCAGGGTAGGTGCACCTTGAGGTCATGTGAAGTTTCCAAGGCTCGCTGACAGGTCACGGGACAAACCCAGGTGGTTTGAGTTGACTGACTGAAATTATTGGCAGATGCATCACCCTGTGCCCCCTGCTGTGTCAACTTTATGCGTTTTTCTTCCCCGGCGCTCCGCTCGTTGTTGTTGGAGGGCGACTGCCTCTAACTGCCCAGTGGCGTCCTTCACGAGCCTCCTCCACAGAGGCCGATCTTGACACCGCGGGTACCGATCATCGGCAAGTCCACTCAGCTACACATCCTCCTGTACCACATCACTCCATCTCTTCTCTAGCCCGTGCCGTGCCCGTTCAGCCCACTTTATCTTCCCAAACAGAAGCTGCTTGGGCATGCGGTGGCTGGGCATGCGGGAGACAACGCAGCCTCGCCTGCCGATGGAGCTCACTGATGGAGCTGTGTCCCCATCTTTCAAGAATCTGCGAGCACACACGCACTGACACATGCACACAAGAAAATATTCAAACACATACATAAAAAAACCTGAGACAAAGCAGATCGCCCTTATAGCCTTACCAGACTGTTGGGACAAGTGCTGATAGCGAGGAACTATGAAGGTCGGAACGGCACACAGGGGGTGGGTTGGCCAGCAACCCGTCCGGCCGCCTTTGTCTCCCTAGTGGCGATGTTTTTACGAACCGCACCAGGTACTCATTTCAGGCTGAGTCGACCTAAAGGAGGCCCAGGACGGGTTCAGATCATCGTCACCGGTGTTGGCCGTGAGTGGGAATCAAACTCGTGCCGCTCGGTTCGTAACGCTAACCGCTACACTGCCGCTCCCCACACAGGCACACACAGAGGCAAGCCTACACACACACTCACACACGGGCGATAAACTAACTACTGCTCATGAACATTAAAACAACAATTAAGCGCAATTCTCATTATTGCATTACAGTAATAGCCATGCGCGTTATTTGTTTAGCGATAATTATCCTCTATTGTATAATTCAGTGCCTGTGCGCACAGCGCACCAACTGTGTGCGCTCAGAGGCCCCGCTCCCCGCGCCGCAGCTTTGTGGGCGAGCGACCGAGCGAGCGCTCTGCCAAAGGAAACCCCCTCAATGTTCTCGATGGGAAATTCAAGATGCGAGCCGCAGAGACACAGAGGCCCGTAGAGATACATAGAGACACATAGAGATACATAAAGATGCATAGAGGCCCATAGAGACACATTGAAGACAAGTTACAGTCGTGCCATTGTGGCCATGAAAATCAAACTATGGACCATATAATAGACACATAGAGAAATATAGACACATTGAGACTCATAGAGATACATACAGACACGTAGAGACACGTAGAGATATAAAGCGACATGTAAATACATAGAGACGCATAGAGACTCATAGAGATGCATAGAGATACATAGAGATACATGAAGACACGTAGAGACACATAGAGATTCATAGACATACATAAAGACACGTGGAGACACATCGAGATATAGAGCGACATGTAAATACATAAAGACGCATAGAGACACATAGAGACTCATAGAGACTCATAGAGATACATAGAGACACATAGAGATGCATTAACGACAACCCGTAGTCGTCCAATAGTGGGCATTCAACCTTCTTCAGCGGAGGAGGAGCAGCAGCACCACATGAAGTCTCTCTCTCTCTCTGCTGAAGCCTTCTCGTCGTGACCTGCAGCAGACCTCGATGCTGACATTTAGCTCCTGAACGCATTGACATCCATTCGCCAGAATATAATATAATGTCGAAAACATTCGTGAAGCAACTGTAATGTAATCGAGGACGCAGACCGTGAGCTCTGTCTCTCTACACTCGAGCGCCCAGTTGAATCGCGCTATCGGTGTCATGGAACGAGGATGAAGAGTCCATTCGGAACTCTTTTGCAGAGCATTGGAACCACCTCTGTGGAAGGGATTCTAAATTTAATATTTATTATTTTGTTGTGGTTATTTTCCGCACGAGCAAAAATGCGGCCGCAGCCGTATGCACGTATGTGTCTCGAACTTCTTTTGCACCGTACGCAGCCAACCGTGATAATCGCCGATTCACTCCGTGCTGGAAGTCAATCGCCTTCTCGTCACCCTTCTACCGCTACGACTATTACTACTGCCATGGTTCCCGTTCTCGTGAACTAGCGAAGGTCACGCAGCCGCTAGAGGCCGCTAAATCCACCAGTATGAAAACAAATATTCCATTCTTCAATCTAATCCTCGCAAGCGTTGAAAGAAATCAAACAGATCTAGCGACGCGATATAACGCATGCACGTGGAAAGGTCTGTTTGTGAGCACCTATTGCGGTCGGTAACCGATGTGGCTGAATTGGCCTTTACCAGGAATTATATCAGCTGAGGAATTGACCAAAGTCTCAGTGCAGCGTGATGGTCCTATCGAGGAGTCGTGACCTCATAACGTGAGCCGGGCGCCGAGGCGTTCGTATGTGACTCGGCTCCATGAAGACGATATTTGCTGATTGCGCACAGATTTAGAAAGCTCCCTCGCCCCGCTGGGCTACAAGGGTGGTCAGGAGATGGCAGCACGGCAAGTAGGTTCGTGAACTCGTCTGTATAGCAGGCGGGTGGATGTTATAGCCCTCGTATGTGTGGCGAGATGTCTCCGGGTACTTTCGTTTGCATCCCGTGGGAAGCCAAACACACGAACGGCTGGCATTGGTCAATGCCATCCCAATGTAGCACGACCCTCCTGACAATTAATCTCCAGGCTCGATTAGGCTTTCTTGGATGAATCAATGAATTACACTGTGCCTGACGGTCCTAACAGCGGCATCAAAACGATAACTAAACTATATTTTATTTTACCAGGTCAGGCTCACTGAGCTATTGAGCTCTTTTTTCAGAAGCGACCTGGCCAAAAATGATAGTCCAATGAAGTGGCTTATCGTCTGGAAATGTATAGCAGCCAAAAACTCGAAACGCGTGTTTCTAAATGGGGAGAGAAAAACCGGAGGACCTGGAGAAAAATCCACGCATCCACGGGGAGAGACGCAAACTACAAATATACGGCAGGCGTCAGGGCTGGCATCAAACCCACGACCGCCTGTATACCAGTCGAGGTAGTAAAGTGTATTAGGCACTCCTAATACACTTTA